CTCCACATTTGTCCCTTTGACCACCCTCACTCTCACCTGAAGGTCTCCTAGCTTGTTATTTATGCTGTTTTTTAAACTTACCTTATCTGAATTTTTTAGACTAGTATTGTGATGCTGCAGGGTCCTCCTCTTCTTTGCCTCTTCTCTGGGCTGGGTGGTCCTTACTAATTCAGAGAACGGTACGGAAGTGATTAAGTCAATGACACTTTCTGTACTAGTATATTGTGAATGAAGGGCACCATGGCGATGCCCCATTAGCAGGAGGGCTCATGATGCCCTGCATTCCTAAGAATTCTCAGTCTTATGTGTTGAGTGGCTTCACTCTTCCCACTACCCTATGCTCTCCCTCCCCCTTCCCTGGATATCTTCCTTACCACTACCACCACTTTTAAAAAAATTCTATTATACTTAACCTTTTCTTGCAGTCTGTCAGGGCTCCAGGTATGACCAGAGGTGTGTGGACTGACACAGGGAAACACAGGCTTCAGATATGGTATAAACAATATGATTTATTATGACTAACAATACAAAAACGCAGTGCAAAACTAAATATAAACACAGTGCAAACAAACCAAACCACCCACAGATAACAATACATACAATGCAAGAGTAGTTAGGCAGGCCGGGTCAGTAGCAAACGGGCAAACGGAGTACCAGGAACAGGCGGGAGAGTGGTTGGGGTCACAAGCTGGGTTCAGTAACTCACGGGCAGCGCGGTACAGAGGGTCAGGCAGAGAATGGTCAGGGTCACAAGCCAGGGATCAAACAGGAGAAGTCAGCAGAGGTCAGGATCAGGCAGGGTCGGCAACAAGTCAGACAGGAACAGGAACACAGGATACAAGATACAGGGGCCCATGGAAAAAAAAAACACACACCAAGGCCCTGACTGAGTCTGGCCATTCCTTAAATACAACCCCTGCAATCAGCTTCAGGTGTTTGGCTGACTGCAGGGGTGAGTCTCTGATTGCTGAGAGCCCCCGCTGGCCAGCCCTGGTACTGCAGCCCACAAGGCAGACAAGTCCCACCATTATTGGCAAGTCCATTCCTGACACAGTCTTCTGCCAATGTCACCTGTTATTTTCTCTTGGCAGTGGGAGTGGGTTGTCATTACTCCTGGAAGTGGTGCTTACGCAATGAGGGCTGAACAGTGCACTGTTTAAAACTACTGTGAGCACAGGCTGGTGTGATGATGTTACCCCAGGAGGAACATCCAAGACAGCCTTGGCTCACCGAAAGTGTGTTGGAGAACTCCGGGCAGTATTCTACCTGGAAGAAGAGGTGATAGTGCTGGTGAAGGTATTTCCAGACTTGCTTTTAATTTCAAACATACTGGGCCACTCATTTTATTAATTTGTTAACAAAGTTGTTTGGATTTAAGATTATAATCCCAAGTATCCACTTTAGGGGAAGAGAAGGCTGATTTGAGCACTGTAACCAGCCTGTTACATTCCAACATATTGGGGCACTAGCTCGGAGTCGCTAGTGTAGTTAATAATGAGGTGACACAAGAAGTATCAATTGTGGAATCATGTTTAAAATGGTATCTTTCAATGAACAGTGGAGACTATAAACAGGGTTTTATGTTGGGTCTCTATCTTTATTTTGGAATAAAGAAGGTAACATTCAGAGATGTGGAATTCTCAGGCAGTCCATAGAACATTAAGGACTTTTATGTTTTTCACCTTAAACCTGAACTGCAGAGACTTCCCAGCTTTGTAGGGCGTTTCTGCTTAGAATTGAGAATTCTTTTTTTTTTTTTTTACTACAAATGAGTTCTTTCACTTCCTATGCTCTGATGTTTTTGAGTTAAAGCCTTTTTGGATTCTTTTGGCTACCTCTACCATAAGTTGACTGGAGGTAATGCACACACTTTGAAAATAACAAACGTCTGGTGGAAAAATTACAGCATATAGAAGTATGTGGCAGTTGTTATATGGACAGGTAAATCTCTCATCATTTCTCAAAAGAGGTGGGAAATATGCCAGTGAATGGACAGCCTAAAGAAGATTTGTTCAGTTTGGAAATATCCTATCTGTTAATGAGTTATATGCAATTCATTTAATTTTCTAATGTACTTTATCTGCCAAAAGTAGCTTTTTTTCAAAGATATTGCTTTCTATGGAAACTGCAGCCCCGACCTTTGGCTAAAAGTCTGGACTGCGACATCTTAGCACATCCCTCTTACCCACTTTCGATCTACATCAGCCTTTTGTTCAGCAAAACCAACTTTGCCCAGCTACAAAGCTCTAAGGAAACTTATCAGTAAAGCTTTAATAATTTGGAATCGCCTTCTAATAGCTGATACCTAAAGATGTCTACATTTAGAGTACAATATGGGAAGGACCAGACTGTGAGTCTCCCAATAGATTATCTAATATAGTGGTTTCATAAAATGGGCGATGCCACCCTTTGGGGGGCACTGGAGTAATCCAAGGGGGGCAGTAGTAGTCTTTGGTGCAATTGGTGGGTGCTTGATAAATATAAGGAGGTAGTGAGAGGAGGAGAGGAGAGAAATATTGCCAAATATGTCCCAGAACTCCTTGTGCCAGACTGTTGAAGTCTTCCTCATCACTAGTCCAATTAGATACCATTATAACTTCAAATGATGTCAACAGCTTAATGCTACTTTACAAATGGACAGAAAATCTGAAAGAAAATTTTAACAAGTTTATTACATTTATTTATATAAAATGGCAAATCACTAATACACACATTAGCTACAACTAAGGAGCTTTTTGCTACTGTTATTGTGCATTAACCCCTTGCCCTCCTGAGGATTTACCCCCCTTCCTGACCAGACCATTTTATGCGATACGGCACTGCGTTACTTTAACTGGCAATTGCGCGATCATGCAACGCTGCACCCAAATTAAATTTACGTCGTTTTTTCCTACAAATAGAGCTTTTTTCGGTGGTATTTGATTGCCTCTGCTTTTTTTATTTTTTGCGCTATAAAAAAAAAAGACTGCCAATTTTGAGAAAAAAAACTATATTTTTGACTTTTTGCTATTAAACATGTCCAGTAAAAAAATTTTAAAAATCAAATTTCATCAGAAATTTAGGCCAAATGTATTCTGCTCCATGTCTTTGCTAAAAAAAAAAAAAAAAGCAATACATGTAAATTAATTGGTTTATGTGGACGTTATAGCATTTACAAATGGCAGTATAGATACTGGAATTTTTATTTTTTTATACCAGTAATGGTGGCAATCAGTGACTTATAGCGGCACTGGGGCGTGCATTCTGACACTGGGTGGGACCTAACTGTCACTGACATCTCCAGTGACACTAATATAGTGATCAGTGCCAGAGGCGGACTAACAGAAAGTTGCATACTTGGCACAGGTACCATTGAAAGAATGCTTTCCATTATCTCATTGAATGTAAACCATTCTCTGATTGGAAAAGGTGGAGAGTAGGATGTCCCTTTCTCATCTATCCACCTTGTCCTGGGGCGGACTGACAACTCATGGGGCCCCTGGGCAATAGGGGATCATGCGGCCCCTGTGTCCTTGCCCAAAAAAGCCTATGAAAAAGGTACCAGGGGCATCTCATGGGGCCCCCTACTGACCCCGGGCCCTCGGGCAGTGCCCGAGTATTCAAATGGTCAGTCTGCCCCTGATCAGTGCTAATAAAAAGCACTGACAATGTAGTAATGACACTGGGCAGGAAGGGATTAACATCTAGGGCAATCAAAGGGTTAACTGTGTGATGTTTTAAAGTGGGCTGTGTGTGTGCACACTGCTTTGTATGGCTCTTCAAGAGCTGACGGGAGAAATCTGAATTGTTTACATATCGGCTGGGACCCAGTGATCAACAAGTGAGGCTGCCAATGGCGGCACGGCTTGCGTGTGTCCTGTACCCGGAAATGCAAAATCATATATATATATATATATATATATATATATATATATATATATATATATATATATATGTGTGTGATTTTGCGCACCCCTGCTGCCCTGTAGCAGTATTTCTGCTATAGGGTGGCAGGAAAGCAGTGAATGTAGAGAATCCTGATGCAGTTTTCTTTTAAGTAATCCAGATAGCCACTGCCATACCTCTGTCATCTGTTCTCATATTGACCAATAAAAATCCCAGCTATAGAGCTTGCGTAGCAAGTCTGCAGAACTCACACTAGAATGGACAACTACTACAGCGCTTTACCTCCCCAGCATCTGTCTGTTCCGACTAGGGTGTTATATGCGATTCAGCACCACAGTTCCTTTTTTCAACAAACTTTATTTGAAGTGTACAAAAGTGCTCTTCATTCATGTCGCTGTACAGTAGAGCAATGTGCTGCGCTGCTATACATTGATATACAATCCCGTATTGTGCGCTGCAATAAAATGGGGCATGTCTGTATTTTATCGCAGCCCTCTGTGGTGCAGCTCCAGGCTGCTTTGCAGTTTAAATTGGACACACGGAAAACAATTGTTTTCCGTGTGTCCTTGCTGTGACTGGCTTTACTGCACATAGTGTGAATTGACCCTTACACAGGAACAGCTATAAGGCTAAGTTCACACTAGCTTTGTAAGCAGGCATTTTGCAGGCATTTGAGGGGCATTTTAACCCCCCTCAAGCGCCTATGAAAATTATACACATGGCAGCACACAGTGCTGTTCAAACTGAAGCTTTAGCGTCGTGGCAAAATTGAAGCTTTTCAAAGCCTCCCATTCAAGTCTATGGTGATGCTCCTCAAACGCCTGGCAGGTGTTTGCGAGGCGTTTGTGGGTGTTAATACCATTATCTTCATTATAGGTGTTTGTGGTGTGGTTTTAACACTTTTGGGGAGCGTTAAAAATACTTCCTAAGCACCTGTCAAATGCTATAGGGGCATTTGGGAAGAAGTCAAGTGTGAACAAGCCCTAAGAGACTCTTTTTGTAAAGTTGTGTACAGCCGGGGTTGGGCCAATAGGAAGGAATACAAGCTGTGGACTGCAAGCAGGGGCGGACTGATCATTCGAGCACTCGGACACTGCCCGAGGGCCTGGGGTCAGTAGAGGGCCCCATGAAATGCCCCTGGTACCTTTTTTTATAGGCTTTTTTGAGTTTGGGCAAGGACACAGGGGCCCCATGATACCCTATTGCCCGGGGGCCCCATGCGTTGTCAGTCCACCCGACTGCAAGGATTGTGGGAAGTCTAGTTTTAACAGACTGAGATAGCTTGGTGAGCTGGAAGGAGGAGACTACAGATTCCACAAGACAGTGGGGCAATGAGGAGAGGCAGGTCCCTACTATTTTCCCTGAGGAGAAGTGTGGAGGCTGTTTCTGAGAGAACTGAATGCATTTTTGGCTGCTGGCATAGTGCACTTGAAAAGAAGAGAGGCACAGTGACAGACATTTGAGGCCATTGGAGAAAGCCACAGATGCTGGTGGAGCCTGTTGCTGGCTGTGTTTCACGGAGGGAGACCACCTTGCTAACACAGGAGTTGGAGAGAGGCTGCTGGCCAAAAAACACATTACACTTTGACCTAAGAGGGACAGTGTTGTCTGCAAGAAACACAGAGTCAGTGACTGTACCAGTTCTTAAAAAGGATAGTAACCTGAGCGTTCTGACATAAACATTTGGTCTCAATGAGCTGGCCAATGGAAGAAGGGGGAATTATATGATAGATCACTGGACTGCAATGGTGATGTAGTACTTCCTAGTTAGGACTGCCCCCAATATAGGGTTTAACAAGAGTTGCTCTTTATACCAATTGAGAGTTTCTTTGCAGAATATCCCTTTTCGATGTCATCTACAGTACATACAGTGGGGAAAATAATTATTTTATCACCTGTAATTTTGTAAGTGTGCCCACTTAGACCTATGATAAAAATTATAGACCCTTCATTTCTTTGTAAGTGGGCAAACTTACATAATCTGCAGGGGATCAAATAATTATTTTCCCCACTGTGTGTGTGTGTGTATATATATATATATATATATATATATCGGCCTGACGAAAGAGTGGGCAAGCTCCGAACGCGCACCATCTTGGAAACCCAGTCCATGCGGTGACATCATCCCTGTGAGCCTCCCTGCTCCCCGAGCCCTGGACACCTCCGGAGCGATGGGAAAACACCCAGAGCGCAGCCAAAGGACCTGATGCTCCCACTGGACCTCCATCACTTGACATGCCTACTTGTCACCTATCTATATGAGTGCAATTTTACCATGAAAACTGCCTTATTTTAACACTCAGAGTGGTGCTGCTGTCTCTCTTCGTTACTTGCATTAGGAGTATCTACAAGCTTTTACAGCAGGCTGCCTCCTTGGACAAGTCCATACTACTACAAGCCCCCCACTACAGATGGACTTGGACACCACCTCCACATGGACCTTCTACTAACCCCCAATTACTGATGGGCCATCCCCAAATGCACACAGGGAAGATGCGTCTTAGCGCTCTCTCCCCCCACTCACCTCTGAATATATATATAGTTTAACTGTTTTCAGTATTATTGCCGCTGTTTCACATTTCTTTTACCATTGGGGTACTGCCTATATGTCAGCATTAAATATTGCCCACCCAGCCAAATGTGTCCGAGTGTATGGCGCTATTTGTAGAGTTGTGGGAACAGAAACAGGGAATTCATAAAACAAGGACTCCTTCAGGGGAATAATTGTTATATTTTTATCCTCGGTTTAAAGTCTAACATCACTTTAGGACCATTTTAGTGTGCAATAAGTAACATGGTGCACAGCAGCCCCTCACCCCCCAAAATGGCCTCCTCTTACAGTGTGCTGGGGTTCTCCTGCGCCACAGCAGCTGGTAGATTTAAAATGGGCATGGCCATGTGGTGCTTCCCCACATGGAAGAAAAATATATTTGAAATATATTTTAAAATATTCTTCCCAAATATATTGACATATTTGAAATACTACAATTTTGGCCATATTCAATATATTTCAAAATATATTTCAATAAATATATATATACTGAATTATGAAATGCGTTTTTTATATATTACAAAATATATGAAAAATATTTTTAAAAATATATTTTTGTAAATATATTCTTCAGATGTTTTTAACATAAAAAAAAGTCATTTTAACAGAAATTTTTACATATATTTGTAAATGCATTCTAAAAATGTAGATTTCTATTTTTTAAAAGACATATAGTATATTTGAAATGCATTTTTAAAAAGATTCTTCATATATTTTGTAATAAAAATGCATAACAGTATATATATATATATATATATATATATATATATATATATATATATATATATACATACATACTGTACATACATACATACACACACATACACACACATACAAATATTACATATATTTATTGAAATATATTTTGAAATATATTTGAAATACTACAATTTTGGCCATATTCAATATATGTCAATATTTTTGGAAAGAATATTTTTAAAATATATTTCAAATATATTTTTTCTTCCATATGAGCCAGCCACACAGCCACGTCATTTGAGATTTGCAACTGAATGATCTACAAGCCATGTCTGCCACGATGGTGGTAGTTTTCAATAAAACACAAGTATGGTGGTTACCATAGTCCATTGACACATCCTCCAGCTCTCTAACTGAAAGTACGTACCTTGGTACACACATAGGGCTAAAGGAAGAGTCTTCTGGAGTCTGGCTTCCCTGGGAAAATTACACAAAGGTGGGTGAAAGTTAGTGCATTGCAGACATGTAACCTCCCAATTGGTTATTAAGTAGCATCCCCTAGTCTACAGGGAACTGACCTTTTTCCCTTTTAGGCAAAGAGTTTAGACAGGCAGCTCCACAGGATCTCACTAGGTGTCCCTGCCTATTAGTGTAGGATCCCCTTGGTACTGTGCAGCATCCCTATTTCTTAGTTTATTCCACCCCCAGTCTGCTGGGCAGCCTTCCTGACAGTTATCCATGTCGCAAAGAAGTATAAAAGGTCAGGGGTAAGGTATAGGTGGTCACTCAGGGGAGGACCACAGGGATGCCTAGGACTTCTCCCTGCACTGAAAAGTAAGATTAGGAGATGCCTGGAGTCTATTTCTCTAGGATAAAGAACAAAGGTCTTGCTCAGTGATTCCCCCTCTCCTCATGGACTTCCCTGTAACATTGTTTGCTTTAGGTTATTAGGGTATTGGATATAGCAGCTATAAGGAACTGTGTTTTGGTTTCCTTATCATTAGATAGCTCAGAAAGTGTGGATTTCTGATTGAGTTCAAGAGTCTGAATCTTTTGATGCAATAACGGTGTTCAGTTTGATGACACCCCTGTAAAACGAGCTCTCTAATACAGAATTACTCTTTGGAGGACACATTTTAAAGCTTCCCATTGGAGAGGAGGAAATTTTCTTCATTAGTGTGAGTTGCCATTACAGTATAGGAGACCTCTTGGGAACAAACTGGGTCATTGTGAAGGTTGTTGATGAGAAAGAAGGAGTAAAGTGTGCAAGGTACTTTGGGGATGTCAAGATTTACAGAAATGGGCTGGTCAGACCAGAGGATAGGGCCAATCTGGGCCACCTGGGATTTATCCAGGAGTTCTTAAGGGATAAATACTAATTCTATCTATGCCGGAGAAGCTAAATCGTTTCAGCTGGAGTATATCACTGCTTTGCTTCTATTCTGTGTGTTGCATCAGCTACTATATATATGTATGTGTTTATAAAGTATAGGTTTTATTTTACAGACTTCTATATAAAAAATGTGTTCTTGAATGTAAGTATCAGTCTCCTTGAGTGAAGAGTTATAAAAAAATGGCATTGAAATTAGCTTTGCACTGATAAAGGTATCGGTGCCAGTACTAAGCATTTGCACGAGTACATGTACTCATTTAAATGCTCCGATACTAAAACCAATACCTTTTTCTTGTGGAGTGGTGTGATTTGAGTCCATACAAAATGAACGGGCTCAAATTGCACTGCAAAGTATCTCATGTGATTTGAAAAATAAATGTGATTCCTGTTCGAATCACATGCGGTTTCCCGCACAGCTCCTTTATGAACCCAGGTTGAGCGTGTGGCTCTAGGACCCACTGGTGACACCTCTCCTGGGGGTTGCATCTCCTTGACAATGAACAGAATAAATTTGTGTCACCAAGGTGCACAAAGGCCTGTCAAGCAGCAAAAGGTTGTAGAATGCAGTGCCTCACTCACCAGCACCTGTCGTCTCACTGCCACATAGCAAGAACAATGCACACCACTGGCACGTCAGTTGACTTTTCGACACAGACAAGATAAAAACTTGTTTATGGAAATTTAACGTGTTTATGACATCTAGTATGTCACATTAGAAGAGAAAAACCTGTTTAAAGATATCTACTTGCTTGAGAAGTTAGAAATCCTAAAGTCTGGGGTAGATGAGTAGAAGTTTAGGGTAGATAAGAAGCAAAAGTGTGACTTTTCAGATAATGAATATGGTGGTTGACCGTGACTCTGTTATCTTCGCGGAACCCTTCTGCTAGCTCTTCCTATGGTGGGTGTGGTGCCCACCCACTATTTGACAGCTTCCAGAAGGATGGTTTAAAGATCGGAGGTCCAAGCAAGATCAACTCATGGAAGCCATTCCATGCGTGAGGGGACACTCTGACGCTGGGATTTTTGCCAAGGCTATACGGGCTCATCATTTGGTCACTCTTACAACTTCCCCATGACCCCCTGGGCAGTATGGTTCAGATGGGATTTGTTCCTTCCAGCTTCTAACATAACTTTGGTAATGTATTAATTCTATGCTGTGACACTGTCAAATGATGTGTCTATTTCATGCTGTAATTCTCACAATATTATTGGTGTGTGTTATTATGCAAATTTCTGCTGCTCATAGATGAAAATAACATCAATACAAAGTGACCAAACGCAGCGCAAAAAAAAATAAATAAATAAATGAAGCAATAAATACACATGTACAAAAACAAATAATAAATGAGTTATATTAATAAGCAAAAGTCCCAAATCAGTAGTGAATATTGTGCTCCAATCAGAAAATAGTGCTCACAAAAACTCTTCAACCAGAAAATAGTGCTCCACCATGGATGGTGTGGACACTTTGGAGAGTTTTTTTGAGCACTATTTTCTGATTGGAGCACAATATTCACTACTGATTTGGGACTTTTGTTAATTAATATCATTAATGTATTATTTATTTATGTACACG